TGCAGCGCTTTGTGAAGCTCGAGGTGCAGATTTCGTGGCAGGCGCAGTTTGTGAACCTCCAGTGGCTGAGCGATGGGGTTTTACTTCGGCTAGTTGTGGCTGTACACACATGTCTGCACAATACCTCGTACATCCGCCGGTAATTCTGATATAATTCCTGACAAGGCCATGTTGTAGAAGCTATTGAGACTCTGACTGCTTTGTGCTTTAGAAACTTAAGATTCGTAAAGATTCATATGTGGGGTTATCCGGTCCTTTAATTGTGAATTGCATTGATTGTAAGCAGATGCTCACAGCTCACAGATGCTCACAAAGTCACTGTTTTGCGCACGCTGGTGGTAACGTGTTCTGAAGAAAAACCACCAACAAAAAACCAGTCAAAAAACCACCAGAAGAAAAACAACCGCGTTCCAAATTGAGACCAATCGCCCGCGTTCCCAAAACGAGGCCGTTGAGGTTTGCCACGGTGGAGCGCCCGTGCCGTGCATCTGTGCCGTGCGTCCGCACCGTGCGTCCGTGAGCATTATTGAGCATCTACGTACATTCTGAGTTGCCTGGATCGAACCCTTGCCGCTTTAGCCACCGGCTACGTAGGCCCTGAATCAAGGGCATGGGGCGACCAGCTTGATCACATCCACCCAGGTGGTTTACCTTGTTGAAGGCAGGAATGTGGCGTGGCTACACCTGTGAAAAACGAAAGCGCCAAGACCTTTGCGCACTTGCGTGTGGCAATGTGGTAATACAAGTCATGGCTGCAGACTTGCTGTTGCTCGATTCGAAGGCTTGGTCTGTGTTGGGTGCCTGCAAATGGTTTCAGGTGATTTCTGGAGATGCCAGAGTACCAGGGCTCTTTTTGTGTCACTGCCTACCCTCAGCGCTGCGCGGTTGCGTGAATAGCTGCTCTGGTTGTGTGCGATGAAGCCTTGTTTTTTCGCGCTCATCAGCATGCAGCTGGACTGGGACCCAGTCGGATGTGCCCACGCTGTCTGAAAACAAAGGAGCGCGGGCTCCATGGCTAGTTCAGGCATGTATATGCAGCTGTGGACGATTGGCTGCATCCTCCACCCAACTCCGCATGCAATGCGCAAAGTATGTAACATGTATCCAGAACCACGCATCGAAACGCACAATTTGGATGCAAAACAATGCATGAAAAACTGTCCACCAAACATATGGACTCATATGGTGACTGTAGCTGGTGATATGTACACGTGTGGATCTCGCAATGAAAGTGGTGCAAGGGCTGCAAAAGCCCTCATGCAACCCACATCAAAGAACACAACATTCCTAGTCAGTGTCACAATTGTCGGGTTTTGTTGCAAACAATGTTTATGATGTAAGTATGGTATTTTTGTTTGCTGCAGCCCATTTCGCCTGACAAAGTGGTCCAACACACATGAGGGCACGATGTTCGCCCTGAATAATCTCATGCAGCATATGCCCTAGGTCTAGGCCCTATACATCTTTCTTTGTTTGTCTTAGATCGTTTCCACGGGGTACCTCTAATGAACCCTTAGTCTCTCCCCATTAAAGCGATCCCTGCGTAACCTGACAGCGTGAGCAACCTGGTCTGCTATTTCTCTGCCGGCCTAGCTACGGGCTCGGCTAGCAAAAGTACTAGCAGTAAATCGTAGTAAGGAATCGTAAGCGGTACAGGACTAAGTAATAACATCACTACCCTTTCCTGAGGGGGGACGTCGAAACTTGTGAGTTACATTTTCCTGCGGAGGGCCTCAAAAAATGTAATTACATTAACTTTGAGGTGGCCTCAAAAAAAATAACTTACAATTTTGAGGCCTCATGGCTGATTTCCTGGGAAATGATCTCAAAAATGCATGTTGCTTTTTTGAGGCACGGTGGGGCGCTTACATTTTTTGACCACCCCCCCCCTGGAGTCTGTGTTTGTCTGATTTTGTCTTGCTGTCTCGGGATGCAGGCAAGGTGAGATTTGCAGACGTCAAAACTTGTAACTTACAGTTAGTCCACGCATCCAAACCCTCAGATTTTGCAGGGAATACCTGGGTTATGTGAGAAAATTTGACCTCAGAAATTGTAACTTACATTTTGGCCACATCGCGGTGCAGGACTTTGCAGCCGACACAGCTGCGCAGCCGCACCATCACTTTTGCTAACCCTGGTTGCTTCCCGCGAAGGAGCTGTGTTGAAACATGCAAAAAAAAAATCATATCAAGCATAATTACTTTAGCATGAACTATACTACATGATTTCCAAAGATCGATGGTGCAAGTGTTGCGGCTTGAGCCCCTCACCCAGCCGCCGTACCCGAACAAATGTGATGTCATGACTATTGCTCCCTCAAGTTTCCTTGATTCCTTGACAGGTTGTCTCCAAAAAATGCTTCGTGTGCCTCATTCACGACATCATGTGTTTCCATGTGCTTTCACCTGTCTGTGAGTTGGAGCCTTTCAACTTTGACAGCTTGCAATTGCCAATTGTTCGGGGGGTCCTTGTTGAGGCATGCTGAGGCAGCGTTGCCGTTCTCTGTATTGTCAATGAATAAGTTCAACGCACTTCCAAGCTCAGTATCTGAACTTTGGTAGTAAACTAAGTAAACCATTTATGCACCACCTGAGTGCAGAAGCGAGATGCACCAAAAGCATACAAAACCAGTCCACCTGATGTTGCTGGCGAACACTAAATGTGACAACGGCAGGCCTGTGGCATGCTGCAGCTGCCCAAGTTTACCGCCAGAATGCTTATGCTGCCACACCGATTATAAGTGAATAGGGACATGTTTGAAAGTTGTTCTTTACGCTGTTGCAGTGCTTTTGCCTCCTTTCTTTGCAGTATGCTCGGGCCAACGCTTGTGCAACCAAAATTGACCGCTCAAAAATGCACAAACTATATGCTGATAGTGCAAGCATTGGGAGATATTGATAGGTGCAAGCACTCGCACCCTTTTTGCCACACACCATAGCTGAATTCCATCTTGTGTTTGACGAGCGCTCTCACCCTAAGAACTCTTCCTCGGAGTCCTAGCGGACGCGCCACATGAGGATCCCTCAACAAGGCCCAACTAAAGAGGCCGTTACCTTATCACTTTCCTTTCTTCTATTTTTACAAAACTAATATGATGGAATGACGTGGAATGACGGTGCAGCCTTTACGACTTGTGCAGTTCCCCCAGGGTCCTACCGTGAAAAATGTCATAAATGATGGATGGGTCTGACCTCAAAAGACAAAATATAAGAACTCACTGGCTTCTCTCACCAAAGCAGCAAAACTGCGGCGCGGAAGTATAGTCAAAGACGTATACTTAGAACATCAATATTTTTCCAAAATCGTTTTGCAGCTACACTTAGAACATTGGCACTAGTCATCACTTAGAACATCTGGACTCAAGACTTAGAACATGTGGACTCAAGACTTGGATGCAAGGCTTAGAACATAGATGCGAGACACAGACACACACACACACCTGTATATAAACTGTCTTGCCCTATTGTAGTGTCTTTGCCCTTACAACGTACATCAATCAAGTTGAAGATATGTCCATTGAATGAGCATAAATATCGACAAACATCCTTATGTATTCTTCTCCACATTCTTTGATTGATCCACTCTCAATCTTTTTCAAAGACAACGTTCTAAGCCATGGTGCCGGATGCATGCATTAGAATGTTCTAACCCTAAGAGTTAGAACATGCTTATGAAAAAAATATTTTTCCAAAAGACGTTCTAAGTATAGGTCTTGGACTATAAGTGTATTAAAAAAACATAAAACATAAAACATAACACATTATAACTATAAATCCTGCGTTAACAAGGAACAAACTACATGCATGGAAAAGGACGTGTGTAATTATGCCAGTGAGTGTCTGAGCTTACAACTGTGGGGGATACTCAACCGGCTTGTACTGCCTCGAAACGTGTTGCGTTGCTGTTTGCTTGAGGTTTGCATCCTCTTTCCAAGGATCGCACTTGATGAACCAATCCTGCGAAGATGCAAAACCTATCCCAACTTCGTAGAGTCGTGCGGTTGCAAAGAACACGTCAACTTAAGTGAGGTGGCGTAGTGTCATGTTGCGCCATGCTGTGCCTGCACATCTGGATGGTTGCCCACCAGCACCAGGATGGTCGGCAGTGTGAAAATTGACCAAATCCAAACAAGACCTGCACGCGCCGACCACATCGAAGCAAAGGGTTGCCTACGCACACACACACAGAGGTCAGGCTTTGGAAGCACTGAGTTTCCTCTTTTTGCGGCCTTTCTGCTTGTGAAGCTTCCGTAAAGGGCCGGGACGGTTGAACTGGCTGTCGAAAAAGCCCAGAACTGGCACGGCGGACTCAAAGAGGGGAATACAGCTTTGCTTTTGAACCACAAACGCTTGTCTTCAACAGTAGATATTCAACCGGATATTCAAACCCACCATTTATATAGTCATTGCGCGCTCTCCACAGTACAGTTGCTTTGAAAACAAAGGTGTTCCGACATGTTCCAACGGTACCTGCAGAACTGGTGAATCATCGGCTTGGATTTAACAAAACTGTGAATAAAATGACACTTTGCTACTTGTTTCTAACACGTCTTTGAAAGCCCCTGTCATGTTCGCTGCAGCGTTTCTGTTGTGTTTCCGGATGTTCCTCCTTCTAAACACCTTCTGGTATAACAATCCTAAAGTACATAGAAAACGGAACTGAGCCGCCAAAGCACGTTCCGTCGTGTCAATTCCATATTCTAAGTACCCTGCTTTGATCAAAAACAAAGGTACTTGCAATATTCCCCAGCGGATCAATTTGGGTATTTGTAGTATTTTGGAATATCTAGGTTTGTGCGCGGGGGTGCTTCGATCGGGGCAAGCGGTTGATAGCGGGGGTCGTACACTCCTTAGGCGGGTGGGCGCCGTCGGATCTGGTGGTGTCTCGGTCATGTTTAGGTTGTGTCTTGGTCATGTTTCTGTGGTGTCTCGGTCTTGTCTACGTGTTTAGGTGGTGTCTTGGTCATGTTTCTGTGGTGTCTCGGTCATGTTTAGGTGGCGTCTTGGTCATGTTTCTGTGGTGTCTCGGTCATGTCTACGTGTTTAGGTGGTGTCTTGGTCATGTTTTTGTGGTGTCTCGGTCATGTTTAGGTGGCGTCTTGGTCATGTTTCTGTGGTGTCTCGGTCTTGTCTACGTGTTTAGGTTGTGTCTTGGTCATGTTTCTGTATGTTTCTGTGGTGTCTTGGTCATGTCTACGTGTTTAGGTGGTGTCTTGGTCATGTTTTTGTGGGGTCTCGGTCATGTTTAGGTGGCGTCTTGGTCACGTTTCTGTGGTGTCTCGGTCATGTTTAGGTGGCGTCTTGGTCATATTTCTGTGGTGTCTTGGTAATTTTTTTAAAGGTGGCGTTTTGGTCATGTTTAGATATGCTTAGGTGGCGTCTCGGTCATGTTTCAGTGGTGTCTCTCGGTGATGTTTTGGTGGTGTCTCGGTAATTTTGGTGCGTCGGTCATGTTTCGGTCTTGCTCATGTTTGGGTGATATGCCGGTTGTGTTTTCGTTGTGTTTTTGCTTTGGTTGGCTGTTTTGGCGGCACATCGGTTCTGTGGCGGTGGTTCGCTGATATTTTGGTTGCGTCTCGCTTATGCAATGGTTGTGTGTCAGTCTCAATCTTGGCGCGTGTATGAACTGTACGTTTGCGTACATACACCTGGTACACATTGTGAGCTGGCCCTTAAGCATCATGTCGCGGCTAATGTATAGATTATGCGTCGACATGCAAATATTTGTTTCGTTTGAGAGGAACATTCTTTGTATTGGTTTTGTGTATATATATATGGTGGTTGATCAATATTCTTTCATCCTGGAATGGCATTTCGTCGCGGAAAAAAATAGTTTTCGCGGATCTTTCGCGGCCTCATCGCGAAGCAGAGCCCCACAACCATGTCTAGCTAACATGAGCCGGAACTATACGTGTTTGTATCACAAAGTAGGGACTGATATCTTGCTGCCTGACCCCAGCAAAAGGTTGAGAGTTTCTACAGCACTCAGGGTCACTCGCAGCATCGGCGCGACAAACAGTATCCAGAGTCCTGGCGGCGGCTTAGGAAAGAGTCGGCGCAACTCAACCCAAAATCCTGGCGCCAGCTCCCAACACAGGGCGATGCAGCTTGGGGAATGTTACAATGGGCACATGCGGGGACACTTCCGGCCACCGGCGCTGCCAGAGGATTGCCTTGTATTTCTACCATTTGTCAGTCGGTATAAAGGAAAACATCTATGAAAGCGAAGACCTTTGATAAATCTGTCGCGGAAAAAAGATACTTTTGCGGACCGCCCGCGTCGCGAATCTTTCGCGGATGTTTTCAATTTTAACAACGTCTGAAAGGATGTTTTGTATAAAACTCCTTACACGGGGTTTTAGATCAACTCCAATATTAAAAACTCTTAGCTGGCTAGTAGATTGCGCGCTGCATCCAGTGCACCTTTGGCGTAGAAAGAAATTACGCTTTGTCCTTCAATGCATTTTCCGCTGCCTTTGGTGATAAACATAGGTCCTTGTCGTCTGTATGAATTTAAAATTGCCCTTTTTACACCTTTCTATTCTGCGTCTGAGTAGTGATCGCGACTAGATATTTAAACGCCACTCTGACGCGAGTCTAATGTTATTGCGCTGTATTGAATAGGTTCTTCAGATGTATATGGACTTTGCACAGGCGCTCGAACAAACAATTCGACGACCGGCATACATTTTTTAAGTGCTTCGTGGTCAACGGAACATGCGTTTCGCTTGGATATTGGATTTGTTTGTAACGTTGCGCCGAAAATTGGCGATTGCGTTTGAGCGACCGGCAAAACTACAGAAAGGGACGCTGTCAGGCCCCCCAAAATACACGTTTCTGAGTAGCAAGTAGATAGTAATGTTAGATTTTTGGGGGGGCAAAATCTCGCAAAGTGTACAAAAGTAGAAGCTGGATCGATAGAAAAAAGTCGCATGTGGCAAAGGCTGGGAGTGGGGGTCGACAAAAAGGCGTCGACCCTCCCGCCCTCCCGCGCCAGACTAGGAACGCGCGGAAAAGGCTGGGAAGGGGGTCGGCCCAAAGAGTTATACCTTTTAAAACAATATATATATATATAGACAGTACTTATTTTTTGGTCGACCGCCCCCTCCAGACTAGGAGCCTGTGGAAAAAGGCTGGGAGGGAGGGTCAACCAACAAAACAGAACGGTCGACCGCCTCCTCCAGATTAGGGGCCTTTGGCAAAGGCTGGCAAGTCTAGTAGAACAGAATGAAAGAGATTTTTTACTTTTGCAACTAATTTTCACAATTTTTGGATTGAAACCTAATGAACTATACCAAGTTGTAGAAAATCTAACTGTTGAAATACCAACATCTAAAGATAGAGAAATTCAACATGATGAGTATGGTACTCATATTGTGGTAGGTGTCGTCTTCACGAAAACGCCGTGGAAGGTAATGTTGCAAATGATGAGTCGTAGAATGTAGTAGTAGCAGTAGTAGTGGTAGTAGCAGTAGTAGTGGTAGTAGAAGTAGTGGAAGTAGTAGTCGCAGTCGCAGTCGCGGTCGCAGTCGCAGTAGTAGTAGTAGCAGCAGTAGTAGTAGCAGTAGTAGTAGTAGTGGCAGAATTTGTGGGAGTAGTGGCACGTAAGTGGGCAGGTGGTTTCCGATGGCATGCAGACCTATGAAGTGGGTATTGGGTATCGCTAGGTATCGTTTATCGGTCTAAACCCATGTGTGTTCCCCATCGAAGAAAGAGCAGGGAAATGAGCAAAAACAAAATGGAATGTCCAACTAGCATGGCAAACATGCAAAAAAGTATGGACATACACTGCGTCGAGTGTCAACAGTGTCAATAGGCAAAGATAGATTCCAAGATGTGTACCGTCATAAGGCTAGGTATTCGATTTTTTGATTGTTATCGTTGTTCAAAGACAATTCAAACACCTTTTTGAAAGAAACGTGATCGCCGACCTTTAGCACTTTGCTCATTTCAAAAAGTTTACAGTAGGTGTTGGCGGAAATTTGTTTGCGAGGCGCTTGCTTGACACTCCGTTTCTTGCATCGTTCGTGTACATCCACTGCTTAGATGTAGTTCTCTGCTTACTTTCGAGAAGCGTTCTCTTTGCTTGTCAAAACTTTGCAAGAGCAATGCGCTTGCGTGTCCAAAAGTGTATGGTCTCCCTGACAGTTGCATTCATTGTACCTTTCGTGTATGAAGTTGCGTTCGTCTTTAGCTGCGTTTCTGTCTGGCTTGGTGATAATTTACTGTTATCTTCTATGTATTTTGTATTCCTTTCATTCTTTGTCTTTATTGAACTTGCGCGCGTATGCGAAAATATACTATATATATACACACACCTCTCCTGGGTGCGAATCTTTTGTTGCGCTGTGTAGAAATGGTTCTTCAGACGTATGCACCATGCGCAGACACTTGACGAGTACTTGCACATACAGTTCGCCCATTGGTGAACATTCCGTAAGTGCTTCGTGGTTGATGGAAGATACATTCAGTTTGGATATTGATATTGATATTTCGCTTGCGTTGTATAAACTACTGGCACGCATTTCACTGTCCTCGTCCTCCTCGTCCGCCTCCCCCTCTGGACCTCAACCGCCAGCTCCGGATGGCCGTGTTCCCCGCCGGACCTCAACCACGAGCTCCCGGATGGCACGCCGAACCTCAATGTCAACCGCCAGCTCCGGATGGCAGTGCCCCCCGCCAAACCTCAACTGCCAGCTCCGAATGACAGCAGTGTTCCCCGCCCCCAGCGTATATCTACAATATGTGGGTATATGGCGCGCGCAAGCAATCCAGTCGAGATCCTTTGGGAGACTTTGTGATCAGTTTCGACTACAACGTAGATTACAAGCCATCGGCGCTAGTGAAAACACAGCGCCTCAGTTTGATTCCAAAGATCCCGCAGCTGGAAGGTATGCGCATTCCTTCGCCAGACGTAAATGCCCACAAGATGACTTTGGGACAAAGCATTGACATGGACGAAAAAGACAATCCGTTGGATCCTTATCAGGCCACCTTTCTGGATGCAGAGAAGGTAAATAAGAAGACAAAGCGCGCAGAACATGAAAATCCATATGATCATATGATGCTTTTCCGAGAGCGTGAGAGCACTACTGACAGGAAACGGTGTTACCTAGGGCGGCAAACGCAGGAAAGAAGATCCAATCCAGGATGGAAGCGCCCACACTGTGGGAATGCCTGGAATTATGTTGGGCAATGGCAGCCATACATGACCAACCATCAAATATGTTTTTTTGGTGAACAAAGGCGAAAAAAGCAACACAAAAGCAAAAGAAAGTGCAAAACAAGCGCAATTTGCTTTCTTTTTGCATGTGTTTTGCTTTTTTCCTGGTACCACTTCTGCACTTATGAGAACTTTTACCTGTCAGCAATATTTGCTGTACGCTCCTAGAAAAAAAGCGAGAAAAGTGCGAAAATAAAGCGAAAACATTCGAACATAAAGCAAAAAAAACAGTGAACAAAGCGACAAACACGCACAGCTACATTTTTTTGCTTTTGTTTGCTTTACCTTTTGCTTTTTGGGGCTTTATAAAGTTATTTTGGCTCCTTGTATCTATGGCGGGCGCGCCCGACATAAGCCTGGAAGTGTTCAATTTGCAAAACGAATTGGCCGTGGAGAAGTATTAAAATCCAGCAGATGAAGATTGCATGCGCAAGCTCGGCTGTGATGCGAGGACAAAACTGCAGGATATGTCTGCCACTTGACCAAGCGCCTCGTCAAGAATTTAGATGTGCGCTCCTAAGACCAAGCAGATGCAAAGGGGGATCCAGGATTGGTGCCTGAAGGAGTCGGTACTCGAGATACTGGCGGGCGCTTTGAACCAGCCTTTGAAGATGCCTTAGACCCAAACATTGATGGCGAGCTGCGACTGAAGGCTGGAGACGCGCCTTTGAAAGTGCATCATCCACCGACTGATTCGCAGCGTTCGCAGGCCATGATCTTTTACCGTCAAAAGTCAAAAGCAAACCAAGTTTGGTCGTGACATGATCTCAGCAGGTCTCTTGCCTCTGACATCTGATGAACAAACGTTGGACAGAACTGCTGGTTTTAAACGTTCCACTAACATGTTGCGAAGCCGCGAACAGAACAGCTTCGGTTGAAAAAGAAGGTGCCTACGATAACACAAACGTTGCTGGATGCTCGGCGTGCGGCCATGGCAAATGACAGCGTGAAGGGGCCTGCCCGCTTTTCTGCACAGCGGTCTTCAACAGACGTTTGCGCAGAGCGTGTCTTGGAGCAACCAGCAAAAACTGGACAAGATGGCTCTGAAAACAAAGCGCCAGAAGCAGAGCGGCGTGCCTTTAGCAAGCCCCTTGAAGCGATGGCAAAGAAGGTAACCGCGTTTGAACAGTCTGAAAGTGGTTTCAACATGGCGCCAGAGCAACTGTCTGCTTGCAGATGGTTTGGTGAGGCCATGGATGTTGCACTGCAAGAAGCGGAGAAGAAGGGGTGAAACTGGTAAGACCACGATCATATTGGAGCTCATGTTGGATGTCTTTATTTGTCGTTTCTTCCCGGCGAGACTGGGAGAAGAAGAGCGATTCATGATTGCCACTCAGCCATGCGCAAACTGATGCCATTTCCAATGATGTGTACTGTATCGCGCAAGAACATGTCATACTGCTTGCTCATATCGTGTAGCCAGTTTGCGGGGAAAACGTATGGCCCTGAAGACAAAAGAACAAGAAATGAAACAACGGTGGCAATAACCCCAAATCTTACATATCCAATATGAAATCAGCTTGGCGCCAGCGGCAGTGAACATGATGCTTGATCCAGCTAGTGACCAGGAGAGCTCATGACTATTCTGCTCATTGGAGGTTTTTTGCCGATCAAGCCTGCCAACGAGATCTCTTTGGCTGTGACAATCTGGAGGAACTCATCCGGAAGTCACCGCGCCGAGTGCAGACAGAACCTCACGCTGCACAGTCGGCATTGATGAGCATAGATACAGTGATTACAGTGATTCATTTGAAAAAGTCGAAGCGTTTTCTGGACGTGCATCTGCCGGAAATCACTACAGCCATGCGCACGTGCAAAGGATGACTTGGCCAAGCTGCGTAGCCGCAAAATCGAAAATTGCAAAAAGGAATTGTGTTCAAGCGTGGCCATGTCATTGGAATTTCCTTGGGAAAACGTTGATCGCAGTATGGTGGAAAGGGCGAATAACTTGATGTGACGTCGTTCTGTCTGCAAGCTGCTGACCAAAGACATTCCCGAGAAAACAAGGCCATGGATAAGCAGTCCGACTGTCTGATGTCTTGGCTGCCACCACTTTTTGGACTGGTAAAAGACAAACAGGTCGTTGTGGCGAAAGTGGATTTGCATCATGAAGATCAGAAAGGTTTGCAGCGTCGGGGGACCGGCTTTTGTCATTTCTTTCCAGAGTATATATGGCCAAGGGTGTCTGGATCATCCAGGATCAAGTTACTAAAAGGAAACACCTGGCCCATGGAAGATGCTCTGTTGCAAACCTGGGAAGAAAGATGTGAAAACATCACTGACCATGCAGCTGATGCAAAGACATTGTTCTTTGTGGAACTAGTGCGTGCAGAGTTCAATATCAATTTGAAGCTTGGCGAGGAGGTGATCCGCTGGCAGTTTCCTCTTTGCCTGGCAAGCTGCACACTGCTTACAGTGCGCAAGGTCTGACTTTGGATGGAGGTGCGCTGATTGATTTGCGTCGCGCTGGCAGCTTGGTCGCTGGCCATCTATGTCATGCTGCCGCGAGGCCGCAAACTGGATAACCTACTGGGATTCACGGACCAAGTGGAGAATCTTTTGCGCAGAGGTCCTCCACTTGGAAAACTGCGACAACCGACTGACAAGTTGGAAGCCAAAGCTGCTTCGACACTGGATCGGCTCCAGTCGCGGCCTTTCTATGCTTTGGAAGCGCCCTGAGGAACGATCTGATTGCTGTCTGGAGTGGTCCGGCTGCTCTATAAGCTTTGCATTTTGACTGGGGCTGTCCGGCCAGCGCGCTGATGAACGCATGCTGTTTTGCCTGTGGGAGGCCAGTGAGGGTGGTATTAGATTGCGACAGAGACAATGAAAGGTTCTGATTGAAAAGAGCTGCGTAGCGAGACGGTGCATGAGTAAGTTTTTAGAACGACACGAATCGCATCTTTTCAGATGCTGGTGACTTTTTGGTAAACGAATGAATCAAACGAGCAGAACAAATAAATCAGGAAAGAAGTTGAGAAGGTGCATTAGAAAAGGACATGGAATAGTTATATGGCTAAAGAAATAAGACAGTTTGAGTGACCTGTGAATACCTGTGACCAGTGGCAAATGAACTCGATCAAATACTTGTGGAGTTTTTGGCGAAGAAATGAATCAAATCAGCAGAACCAATGTATCACAAAACAAGTTGACAATTAAGAAATTTGCAAACGAAGTGCAATTTCGCTGAGGAAAGTTGCATTGCAAATGAATTTGCTTGAGTGACCTGTTACTAGTTTCTTTTCGCTCTCGGCCAGCAAAAACCATTAGCGTGCAACAGTGATTGCAACACTGGTTCTGACTGGGGCCGTCCGAACGTCTGAAGATCTTTGCGCAAGATGGATAATTATGTGCATGTGCTGCTACACACTGGAAACAGTGTTTCAGGTCTTGGGCCGACGCCCAGGCCTGGCTGATTTAGGAATATTTATAATATGGAAAGTTTTGCGTTTGGTGCTGGTGTGTCAAGAGCCGATGGCTGCTGCCGCAGCCGGTTGGTATGGTCCTTTTTCACTGTTGCGCAGGCAGGGGCATCTGCTCAACGCTTTTCCTATGCGGCCTTGCGATGCCACAGGTATGTGCTTAACAAAGACCAAACATGTGATGGTTTGGAGAGCTGCAAGAACTTGTTGTGCGATTTAGATCTAGTGGAAGAAACGCATGTGTGGCCACACCTGGCAGAGCCGACACTGACTATGGACGATCTGATTGCTGTCTGCCATGGGACTTAACTGGTTTTGACTGGAGTGGTCCGACTGCTCTATAAGCCTTGCATCTCCTGGCATGGGACTTAACTGGTTTTGACTGGGTCTGTCCCGCAACTGCAATGGGATATAACATGATATAACTACTGGAGCGGTCTGACTGCCCTACAAGCTCTTGATCTACGATTCAGACCACGAACTGACATGCTTTGGCATGATTGCTCACTGAAACCATTTGATGCCTGCTTCAGGTGTCCAACTGATATGTTTGTGTCTTGTATTGTTTGACAGCATCTCCTGACAGGCGGCATGCCGGCATGATTTGGCATGCTTTGCTTGGTGAAAGCATTTGATGTCTGGTTCAGGTGTCCAACTGATCTGTGTTTTTTCTGCTTGCAAGCCGATGTCACAATACCAACACTTTGCTTTGGAAAAACAAGCGTGGCCTGATTTGTGTGCATTACGTTCATGTTATAGTGGATGGTGGATATTTTTCGACGCCGAGTATACAATCTTTAAAGCATTGTCCTCGATGATCGATATGTGCAAGAACAACGCAACGAACAGCACGCAGAAAAAATGCGCCAAATCTTGGTGGATGCTTTGCTATTGGGGTTGTGTCCCAAGGTAGAATGAAAGATTCAGGCGACTCCTGAAAAAAATAACATGTGAACCAAAAACTGCGGCAAAAAACACAAGTGGAAAACATGAACTCTGGATCCCGCGTTGAAACTTCAGTGAACTGCAGGTTTATATATAATGGACCCACGTCTTCCAAGCACACCGAAACAAACGACAGTACCGTGTGCGTGCATGTGGCATCATCTTCGAAGCATGTCCAACCGAACGTCATTAACACCCCACGCAACCCCGCACCTTCCAACCCCTATAGACTGATAGGTGTGCTAGGTTCTGAATGAAAGTGCGGATTGGACCCCCCTACTGGATTTTAAGAGTAACGGCAGTGAGGGGGAGAAGCAACAATTTGCAAAAGCAGAATGTCTATATAATGTCTGCGGGAAAGAACCCTTCCGTGCCAGTTCATAGCTTGTTGATGCTCTCCATTAACAAGGGAACACGAGTGGCTTGAACATGCTTGGACAGCATGGCGTGCTCTGAAGTGATATTGTGGAATGTAGAATAATAAGCTACTAGGAACAAGTGCATCGCTTCTAGTAACAAGTGCATCGCTTCTAGTAACAAGTGCCTTACTAGTAGTAACAAGAAGCTATTAGAAACAATATATATAATAAGTTAAGAAAATCATGAAAAATCCGAACCCATCTTTCGCTGCTTTTGGCCCTCGGCCTCTCGCGCTGCGGAACAGCATTGCGCCCGTTTGTGAGGGCAAAGATTGTATGATGGATTCTGGAATTGATTGTGTGAATGGTCTGTCCATGCCTGTCCCGTCCCTGTTCCAGTTGTAGAGCTCTTCAACTGGAAAATCTGCAGCATCCGATCTTTCCTCTACAAAACTTCTATGATCCAAAAAACAACGTTCTGTGCAACTCTCCATGTCCTGAATGAATTTCATTGATCTTCTAAAATGCGCATGTCCAATGTACAAAACATGAAATAGAGCGCTGTATGAATTGGCCCTCTGTTGCGAGCCTTGACTGCGGCGGACACATATCTAGAACTCTGACGACTGTAATGATTGGTAGTGGATACGTTCATGCTGAGTGGCTTCTCAGTCTCTTTTGCATCTGTGACACCTGAATCTCTGTGTCCAGTTTGCTCGCCGACTCTGATCCTCACATGAAATGCAATTGCCAACCTAAAAATAGACCTAAAGGTGTGAATTCCAAGCGCTCACAGAAACAAGACAGGGGCCAAAACCCGCATCGCACGTCGTGGCCTCGATTTTGCATCCTGCAGTGCTGCAGCAAGGGAATTTACCAGCATGCAAGTGGACAAACACGATAGAAACATCAGAAAAAGGAAACTGCAATGCAGCAAGAGCACATCACATTGGCAACTGTTTGTGGCTGAAACCTCTGGATGCCGCATAGATCGAATTATATAACAATATATAACAATCATGGTACTGCGAGCGCTCAGCAGCCAGCGCTCAAATATAATTGCAGGAAGAAACTGGGCACATGTTGAAGTCTTGTGAGCGATCTTCTGTGATCATTTTGCCCTGTACGAGTACTTTGCGTGGTGTCCGGGCAGCGCTACTTGCAAGCGGTTTCCGAAGCAGGAGGCTTCTGCGTGAGACCAGAGACAGCCTGAGACAGCTAGCAGGCCGATTCTTACGAGGGTATGGGCCACAACTCCTCGACGCTCCCCCTTGCAGTGTGCTTGAAGCAGGCCCCGTCGAGAGCGGCTGTCTTGTGCCATGCGCTTAATGAACTGTTGATTCGAGCCAGGTTCACAACTCGCTTGCAGAGGGTTGATGGAAACTTCCTTTACGGGAACAGAAAAATGTAGAGCCAGCCAAAGCCTCTCCTTCTCATGGCCTGTGGTTGTCGCTCAGTCGGAGAGCTGAGACCGACTTGTCTTGGCATACCGGCCCAGCTAGCCGACCAATGTACCAAGTTACAATAACCAAAGATAAACATTTGATTGGAAAGAGTGAAACTAGGTTGCACCTCGACCTCGCGAGGAGTTTGGTTTCCATTTCCAATGAACTATGAATCTGGCGCACTGCCGACAAAAACTCTCAAACGATTTGAGGCCAATCAAGATGCTCTCAAGAAGTTGTAGCAAGGTAGCGCACACTGAACTGGTCCAGGAAGGGACATTCCAAAATGAAGTGGGTAAGGTCTTCAAGCAATCTCCCCATGTTTTAGGTAACAACTCCCCTGTCGCGCACCGGGAACGTCCACCACTTGTTTCCTAATGCTATGCAATAGCCACGTGACCCGTGCGCGGGGGTGGGTGGGGGCTGGGGTCAGGGGTAATAACGTTCGTTGTACCTGGTACATGCTACAGAAGTGCGTTGTTTTTCGGAGTCATGTTCTCCGTGACGTGTGGGGTCGGGGGATGGGGTCGGATGGGGTAGAGTGAAATAACGTTAACGCTCATTGTAGCTGCTATACACAAAATGCTCTGTCTCTCAAACTTGTGCTCCGTGATGTGTGTGTGTGTCTGTGGAGTGGGATGGGGTCGGGGGAGACGGGTTGGGGTTAATATACCATATATGACTCTGACTATATACAGTAATTACATGGGCCCTACCTTAGGGGGGGACTAGGTCCCCACCAACATTTAATTTACTGTTTTATTAATTGCATCCCTTTTGAGTTAATTAAACTGAGACTAGACCAGTGCAAATAGATGTTTTACATGGCAATTAAATTGGCAATGAAGGGGAATGTTTATGATGGTTTGTAGCTGGATGTGGAAATTTATTGAGGGGCCTAGAGTCTCAAGTAATTGTAGGGGTGGTCAAGCACTCAACCACCCAAGCATTAATTGCACAATGTTTGACAACAGTTGAACGCATTTGATAGCTCAATTAACTATTTCCCCTCCCCCCGCTCACAATTAATTCAAAAAAAATATTTTTTGGTGGGGCGTGTTTACCTCTCTGCTGTCAGACCATGCATTTCCTCATGCCGACAAATTTTTTTCCCCCCCCCCCCCAACATCCTATGTCGGCAATGACGGCAATTAATTGACGGTAATAAACTTGAGACTCAGTACCCCTCCTCAATTTAATATACTGTAGTTACTATAAGGGTATTTGATGGTATTTGCAAAATCCTACGCAAGTGGCAAGTGATTTGCCTTTTTCGGCACATGTTGACTTGCCGAAGAGCATTCGGAAGCAAATCGTGAAGTTTCGGGAAGACCTTAGACGAAACTTAGTTCTTGCCCACAGGCAGGAAGCCATCGCTAGATATCACTAGTAGATTGGAGGCCATCGCTATTAGGTGGAGGCCATCGCTAGTAGGTTGGAGGCCATGGCCATCGCTATTAGGTGGCGGCCATCGCTAGTAGGTTGGAGGCCTTTTTTGGGGGGGGGGAGGAAGTCGTCGCTAGTAGGTCGGAGGCCATCGCTATTAGGTGGAGGCCATCGCTAGTAAGTCGGAGGCCATCGCTATTAGGTGGAGACCGTCGCTAGTGGGTCGGAGGTCATCGCTATTTGGTGGAGGCCGTCGCTATTAGGTTGGAGGCCATCGCTATTAGGTTGAGGACATCGCTAGTAGGTCGGAGGCCATCGCTATTAAACGAAAGCCATCGCTAGTAGGTCGGAGGCCATTGCTGGAGGCCATCGCTCGTAGGTCGGAGGCCATCGCTAGCAGGTGGAGGCCATCGCTAGTAGGTTGGAGCCATCGCAATTAGGTGGAGGCCATCGCTAGTAGGTTGGAGGCCATCACTATTAGGTGGA